TGCAAAGATAAGGTAGGAGTTAACACCTCAGAACAAACACCTAATAAATATTGAGGAAAAATGTGGCAGGTTACTTCTACCTATAGTAATGATTTATATGGTGATGGGAAAGTCCTAAATGTCGCAGAGGTTGTGAATTATTGCAAAAGGAAAGGACCCTACTACTTGTAGAATGTTACCCAAAAAAGCTATTTTTGACTTTAGCTCTTAGAGTTCTGCTTGTCTCATGAATATCTGTTACACCAAAGGTCAGGAGGGAACTTGGAGAAAGTAGTACAGTACCAAATGCCATTTTTACCCTCAAAAATTGTATGGTATTAGATAATTTTGTTTGAACTATAAACTGCAGCATTTATCATGTTTGAATCTGGGATTTAGGAGGTTTTTAAGATGTTTTTCCTTTAGGTAAGTGACTATCAACACAGACAGAGGAACACACACACACACACTCACACACACACAGAACCAGACTTGAGTATGAGGTCGGGGACACCAGACAAAGAGGACCAATTAAGAAAAAGGAAACACTGAGAATATTGAGAAGGGTTCACAACAGTGGCAGAGAAGAGAGGGGAGGGGAAGAGAGGGGGTGAATTGAGGGGAGAAACCCGAAAGAATCCTCACAGATTGGAATCTGAGCAATTATTTAGTACTACCCTCTTATTTAATAAGGTGGGTATAAGGTTCAGGGAGGTAAAATGGTGTTTCAGAATCTCACAGGGGCTCTTCTGAGGTCAGAAGAAGGAAGTCAGGGAGGTACGAGAAAGCTTAGAAGTCAGGGTGGCAGGGGAAATGAGAGGTGGAGTAGGAGTCCCCAGAGGAGTAGGAGGCACCTTTAATTCTCTGGTGCAGAGTTTGTCTGAGGAAGAGATTTTTCAATTGGAAGAGAGGAAGTCACTACAGACTGCTGAGAAACAGGGTTTCCGAAATGAGAGTTCAAACATCAGCCTAAAGCCAGAAGTCCTCCCTCAGTGAAATGCTGCTGCTGCTTGTATTAGCAGTTCTCTACCCAGGTGGGGACAATCAGGGAGGTAAGCATGACTGTGGCGTAAACTGGTGCAGAGGACCTGGTTGAAAGCAGGGTGCCTTGCCCAGGTGCCCGTGTACTCTGAGTCCTGCCCCCTCTTGACTCTGGCCTTCTTCCACCTGCTGGAGGTGGGGCTGCAGCCTGAGGCCCTGGGGGCTCTCAAATGTGCCAAGCGTTATGTTTCTGCAGACCCTGGGATTTTGTTTGCTGCATGCTTTCTCTTTCCCTCCTGCCTCTCCCTTTCTCTTCACTCTCTTTCCTTCCTTTCTTCACAGCCTCCCAGGGGCCGACCTCATTCCACCTCATCCAAATCTCATCCTTTGTCAACAGCACCTGGATACAATATCACGGCTCAGGCTGGTTGGATGGCCTGCAGATTCATGGTTGGAATAGTGTCGCAGACACTGCCATATTCCTGAAGCCCTGGTCGAAGGGGAATTTCAGTGATGTGGAGATATCTGATTTGGTGGAGCTATTTCGGGTCTATACCTTTGCATTCATTCGAGAAATGCGGGCCCACGTCCATGAGTTCCAGTTGGAATGTAAGTCCAATCCTCAGACCTGGCGGCTTCTCCGTTACTAGTTTTCTCTTGGTTGAGGGAAATGCTCCCTCTGGCCCTTTCTTCTTTTCCCTTCTTTGCCCAGTTATGTGCACACTCTTCTATAGAGCATGCTCCCTCCACACCTCCACAAAGTGTCCCCAACTCTGGCTGCTTCTGCATTTGTGATAGTTGAAGACAGTTGCTTTGTGACCAGTCCCTGGTTTATTTCCCATGAAACTTGATCCTTACTTTGCTACTGGCTGCTTGAGTGACCTAAAGTGTGGCTCTTCTTTTTATCCATCCCTTCGACCTTTGGTCCACATGACCTTCTGCTTCTCTCTAGATTGCTGTTTTGGTGACTGCATGGTATTCTTCCTTGTCCTCTGCCTCTCCTGTGCCCTCTTACCCACCACACATTCTACCACGCTCTTGATCCATTTATGACAAGCAACTCCATGGCTCCACCTTCTGAAAGTGTCTAGATGGTGTAATTATTTTGGATTCCAAGCTTCTATCCTCACCCAAATTCAAAATCCTTGGTCCTCCCTATTATCTCTTTATTGCTTGTTTGTAACTTTCATCTGTTTTCCTTCTGCACAGACCCCTTTGAGATCCAGGGCATAGCAGGCTGTGAGCTGCACTCCGGGGGAGCCATCCTGAGCTTCTTAAGGGGGGCTTTAGGAGGCCTGGATTTTGTGAGCTTCAGGAATTCTTCCTGTGTGCCTGCTCCAGAAGGGGGCAGCAGGGCACAGCTCGTATGCGCCCTGCTCAGACCTTACGGAGACATCTTCCACATTGTGAAGAAGCTGCTGTATGAGACCTGCCCCCGGTTTCTCCTGGGTGTCCTCGAGGCGGGGAAGGCAGATCTGCAGAGGCAAGGTTAGTGCTGTCTGTTTCACTTTCCACCACCTCTCCTAGGCCCAAATTCTCAGTCCCTGTGCTATGGGCTAGTGTCATAATGTGACACCATCCGTACCCCTTTCTGTCCCAGTGAAGCCTGAGGCCTGGCTGTCCAGTGGCCCCAGCCCTGGGCCTGGCCATCTGCTGCTGGTGTGCCATGTGTCTGGCTTCTACCCAAAGCCCGTGTGGGTGATGTGGATGCGAGGGGAACAGGAGCAGCAGGGCACTCAGAGAGGTGACATCCTGCCCAATGCTGATGGCACATGGTATCTCCGAGCAACCCTGGATGTGGCAGCTGGGGAGGCAGCTGGCCTGGCCTGCAGGGTGAAGCACAGCAGCCTAGGAGGACAGGACCTCATCCTCTACTGGGGTGGTAAGAGTGGGACCCAGGCTGGAGATGGGGGGAGGGGGTGCTCAAGCACAGAGGGACTGGAGAAGGGTAGTGTGATGGGGAGGGAGAGGGAGAGGAGGAAGGGGAAAAAGGGAAAGAGGAAAAGAAAGGGAGGAGGAGAAACAGAATGAGGCCCTCGGTAGCTGGCTGAAGGAAAACCAGGGGTGAGGGGATGAGATGTGAAGTACCATCTCGTGTCCTCTCCCAATCGGCAGGAGGCTCCGTCTCCATTGCTGTGATCATTTTGATGGTGATGGTGCTCTGTCTGGTCATTTCACTGGGCCTTGCCTTGTGGTTTTGGCGGCATCGGTAAGTTTTTATTAAGTGTTCTTTGCCCTGCACCCTCTCACTCCTCCCACCATTCCATCCGTCTAGAGCACACTTGTCTCTATCTTTCCACCAGCACTCCCCTCTTAACTCTCATCTTCTGTGTGGAGCTATTATTATTATTATTACTACTATTACTATTATTATTTTAATGTGTTAAAATCCACATAACGTCGAATGTACCATCTTTACCATTTTTTTAAGTCCACTAGCGCCCTTACCAGCATCCAACTCCAGGATCTTTCCTTTTACAAAACGGAAACTCACTTCTCCTAAAAACATCAACAAAGAACAAAAACCTGCTATTCCTTCCCTTCCCGAGGCCCTGCTAGTGACCGCTGCACCTTCCCTCTCTGCGAGTTTGTGTTTTCTCTGTGCCTTGGATACACAGAATCATGAAATATCTGTCTCTTTGCCCCTGGCCTGTTTGACTTAGCAAGGTGTCCTCAAGTTTCATCCATGTCATAGAAGGTGCCAGAGTTTCCTTTCTTCTTAAGGCCCAATAACATCTCATTGCATGTATCATTGCCCGCATTTTGTTTATCCATTCATTTATAGTTGGGCTGTTTCCACATTTTGTCATTGTGACTAACAATATGACAATAGTTGTCATTTTGAACGATGAATGGCCATATACATCACTCATGTAGAGCTAATTTTTGGTCATTCTTTTGACAGGTCTTATCAGGAAATCTGTCAACCCTCATCATGTCTTCTCTCCCACTTAGAATAAGTACAAGAAGTCCAGAAGCTTCGGATGTTAGCCCAGCTGACAATCTCGTGACATTGCATCCAGTGATCATGGATTTTGATCAAATAATAGTCCTCATAGTTTCAAACAATAACCATAATTAAAAATAATCAAAAACTGTTGATTGTAAGATGGTATCAATCGTAGATTTCATCACTTAGGTATCTATTTACACTTCTTATGATTATGTAAGTTTGGTACATTGTGTTTTCCAAGTGTTTTGTTGTACGAGTTATTCAATGTGCCTAATTTATTGCTAACAGCTTCTTCATCTCTTTTTATTATTACTGTATTAATAATTATTTTCCCTTCCCTCTGGTATTGAAAATTTGTTCTCATTCTCTATGTTTTTATTTTTTTGTGTGTATGGTTCTGGGGATTGAATTACTCAGGGCCTTGTGCATGCTGGGCAAACACCCACCACTGAGTCACACTCCCAGTGAACTTTAACTCTTGTTCTTTTTTTTTTTTTTTCCTCTTATCCTGACAAGGGTGTATCGACTCATAAAGTTTTCAAAAGAACTAACTTTTGGTTTTGATGGTTGTTTCTATGATCTTATCATTTTCTTTGTTGTTTTCTTCCTCCTACTTTCCTTGAGTTTAAATTGCTTTTGTATTTTTTTTCCTAATTTTTTGATGCAGTTGCTTAAGTAACTTATTTTCAGCCATTAGTTTCCCATATGTGCTTTAATGCTAAAAATTTCCTTGAAGCAGGGCACTAGTGCAAATCAGAAAGTCTGACGTGCTGGGTTGCCTTTGTCAGCTTGATGTTTCCTATAACATCTGCTTTTTGACACATCAGGTATTCAGAATTCGTATTTCAGAATTTCTAGACATGGGGGAATTTTCTGGTTGCATTTTTAATCACTGATTTTTAACTTAATTGTGCCAGGGAAACATTTTGTACACTTTTAGCTACCTGAAGTGTATGTTGCTTCACGAACATATATTGACAATGAATGTCCCGTGTTTACTTAAAAAGAATGTATACTTTTCGGTTTTAAGAGTTTTGAATTCTAAATGTTTCATTAAGTCATGTTTATTAAAAATGTTTAAATCTTATTTATACTTTGTTGTTCATAGAAGTCTATTAAAAATTCTGCACCAAAGTTGTGGATTTTAATACATCTCTTTCTGCACCATAGTTTTGTTTTATAACTTAGAGAATGTGTCATCACATGCACAATGTTTACGAATGTTCTATCTTCCTTGTGATGAACTTACTGGTTTAACTTGAATAATGCTTACTTGCCCATATGGTGATTATCTAAAATAAGTGCATCCATACAGGTTTCTAGTGTTTTTGAAGTATATCTTTTTCCATCTCTTTAATTTGTAAATCTCTTTTTTTGTCACTTGTAAGCATAATATAGGTATGTTGCTTTCTATTCACTTAGACAATTAATGAAATTAATTGTCATTAATGAAATTATTGATATATTTGGTTTTAAATCTACCATCTACTCTGGATGGGTGTGGTGTTGCACACATGTAGTGCCAGTGACTAAGGAGGCTGAGAAACTTAGTGAGAACTTGTCTCAAAAAAAATCAATCAATTAATAAGCAAATTAAAAGGGCTGAGAATGTGGGTAAGTAGTTAAGCACCTTTGGGATCAATCCCCAGTATAAATAAATAAATAAACAAACAAACAAATAAATAAATTAACTAACTAATTATATTGCAATCTACCATTTTACTATTTTATTCCTCTTTTTCTGAACTTTTTCTCCTTCCCTTGTGTTCTGCCTATTTCAGATTAAGTATTTCTAACTACAGCATTTTCTCATTTCTTAACTTGTTGATTTCATGATCTTTTAGCACTTTAATTGGCCAACTTAGAAAGTTTTACACAATCCTACATGCTAAGTTTTAATAGAAATTGATATTTTAGTGCTTCCTGACTTCCTGCTAGCTCAATGACAGAACACTTTAATTTCATTTATACTTCTTCTGACTATGTCTTATGGTTGTTAGATATTTAAATTTTTGTTCTCCATTAATTTAAAAATCTAAATAGAATTTAAATATGACAAAGAGTAAATATTTATTTATTTTATTTATTTTTCCTTTCAATTGTTCAGCCTTACAGGGTTGGGGACTAGCAATGCTTGTTGCTTTTCATCAGATTGGGAAGTGAAATTATTCAAATTTGGATTTTTAATCACTTATTAGGGCTGCTTTATTTATTTATTTATTTTTCTACTGATGATTCACCTTAGTCCTAGGGCCTAGGGATTTAGGATGTAAGGTTTTAGGGTTGCAACCTCATACTGAATGTATTGACCATTGTGTGTCTTCTATGTAGGCTCCACATTCTAGTTATTTTCTCCTGGGTCCCATGGCCCTGCAGAAAGTTCTGCTCAGTCTCGCCCCTCTCTGCTGTGCTTTTGGAATTCCCAGATACCTGTAGATGAAGAAATGTGGTTTCAGATGCCAGGCTTTACCTCAGGACTTCTTTCCTTTCTTGAATCATGGACCTCTAATCCCTCACTGTCTTGATGGCTCTCAGATATTTCAAAATAGATGATATTTTTCAAAATCTATCTTTACAAGTTTTACTCAGTAAAAAAGTTTTCCCCAAATAATATTATTCACCATGGGCAAATGTGAAATTTTAACCGCTATTGTAAGTCAATAACATAGTGCTTAAAAGCATCCTTGGGTTTAATCCCCAGTAAAAATAAATAGATAAATAAACTAGAAAGAAAACTACAAATATGTGAGGTGATGAATATATTTTAAATATTTTAATTTTTTTTCTTTTTAAAAATATTTTTAGTTGTAGATGGACACAATACCTTTATTTATTTATTCATTTATTTATTTTTATAAATAAATACATTTTTATGTGGTGCTGAGTATTGAACCCAGTATCTCACACGTGCTAGTAAGTGCTCCACCACTGAGCTATAACCCCAGCCCATCAATATATTAATTAATCTAATTTTTAAATGCCACAATGCATTCATGTATTGAGATGTTTCAGTGTACTCCATAATTAATACAACTATTATTAAGTCAAGCAAAATATTTTAAAAATTTTGTGGATTCCTTCCCCCAAAAAGCCAAAATTTATTAGGATCAAGACCTGGAAAGTTTAAAGATTTAGTAATCTAAGAAGCAGATGAAAGTGATCAGCACCTTCAGGTATATTACACATTACAAGGTTGGCATCAGTGTTTCCTGGAGTTACTGAGCTCCTCTGTGATGATGATCTTGGTTGTAGCAGTTCTAGTGGTACTAGCAGCCCATGATTGTTAAATGTTTCTTCTGTGATCTTCACTGAATTCCTCACTTAATCTTCACAATGACTCTTTGTGAAGTTTTCATTTCACAGACATGGATAGCAAAAAAATCCTGGAATTGGTCCTCCCGCTCTAGTTATATCCATATAGAGAAAAACAATTTAGTTAACACTATTGTTTCGATTCCTATAGAAAGTTTCTTACATAGTGTTATAACAGGGATAGAGATGACTGTAGAGCTGAATTCAGGCCAAGGCTTGGGGAATCAGTGTGCACGGGAAAATTAGGGAAATGGATATAAACAGAGAAAGAGAAGTAAGTCACTGATATGGTCAGGCGAAAAGGTGACTTACAGATGGTATAATACCCAGGAAAAACCCAAAGTAGAAAATAAATATGTATTAGTCCTCCCAGATATAAATAAATTATGACTATATTAAAAACAAGAAAACAAGACTATATCTTTGTTACAGAAATCTAACCCAAGACATGAAGTTTAATGTGGGCTGGCCTTTGTGCAAAGGGAAAAATAACTTTACAGTGGAAATAGCTAGCATATAGAACCTTCACTCTGCCCAGAGACCAGCGCTGGCTTCATTAAAGAAGGTTCGATTCGTGAGTAAAACACTACTCTCATTACCTTTAATACCAGCTCCCAGAGGGCTTCTCCTAGCTCCCGCCTCCAGCCACCTAATGTGGTGGCCAGGTTTACAGAAGAGACTAGCGAGCGAGAGAGAACACGCCAGGGAGTGGGAAAATCCCATCCAATGAAGATTAAGGGGGGCAGCATCCCAAGGTCAGAAGTGACAATTGGGTCTTCAGGGCAGTGGCCAGGCACGCCTTCACAAGGACAACCTCTCTGACCTGAGAAGGATAGGGAAAGCTCTGACACAGTTGTGTCTAAGCGCCTCTCATGTGAGGATGGCCTCCCACACTTCACCAAGAGATCAAGTTTAATGCCATCAGTGGTAAGTCTTGTGGGTGTCACGGGCTTCTGAGATGATGGATGGGAGGGTTTGCATAATGGTACTCTCCCTTCCAATCCACACGGCAAACCAGTCATGAAAGAAACATCAGACTAACCTGAAATGATGGACATTTTACAACATCTGACCAATACTGTTTGCAATTATCAAGGTCATGAAAACAGATCAGAGAAGACTGAAGAGAAACAAACTAATTGCAGTATGATATCTTGGATGAAAACTTTGAGCAGATGCTAATGTTTATGTCTTAGTTTTAACAAATCTACCAGTAATATAAGATGTAATCTTAGGGTAAACTAGGCGAGAGCTATATGGCAACTCTCTATATTCTCTTTATGCCATTTCTTGAATTCTAAAACTAAAAGAAATTAAAATATAGTAAAGTCTAAGAGAAAGGGAGTGGTGAGGGAGAAGAGAGAAGAGAGATACAGAGACAGAGAGATCTCAGGCCAGAAGTTTCTAAAGTATATTAACTGATAATGTGACCAACACATTACATGCCAGATGAAGCAACACTTAATCTAGAGAAATTTACTCTAAGATATAAATTCAGATCAATGTAAATAAAAAGCCTTTGAGTGGGAGAAGTAGAAAGAAAAGTTTACGTTACAAAGAGAGGTACATTATGTTCAATTAACCAGATACGAGAAATTTAAAATCTGAAATTCAGTAGTAAATCTGTTTCTGAAATATTTCACACTGGGCAGCTTCGTGGACTGCTTGAGGTTTGTCACCTGTCTTGGCTGGAGTTGGCTGGAGTAGTGGCACTCATGGTAATGAGAAGCCAGCTTTAGGTGATGGCAACTGCGCCCCCTAGTGTACTTCACTGATAGTGCAAGGAATCAAGGAACAATAATTTTTAGTCATTGAATATAGAATAGCATAGGGTGGGTAGTGTGGATGGAAAAGAATAGGACTTTGTGATGGATCCTTCAGAGTCCTCAAATGAAGCACTTCTGTCACTGCGCAGGTGTATTGGGTCCCCTCTTGAGCTGAGCAGTGTCTGTCTTGAGGATTCAGATATAAGGGGAGGGCCTGGCTGGTTTGATACATATACTGGGTGTGTATGTACCATAGAAAGCCAGGAAAATGTGGATAAAAACTCAGAAGATACCATTTTGAGCTTAAGTATTGAAAATGCATTTTCCCAAATTTAGATCAGTTCAATTAATCCAATTCAATTCAATTCTGTACTGATCATCACAGAACAGTTCAATCATGTTAGTAGATCTATGAGACAGCACTACTATAACATATGGTAATATAACTTAAAGCTTATTTCCTGTGGAACAAAAATGTAACAGAAATAGGAAGAATTGCAGGGATTTCCATTTGGAATTTTAGCTCCAAGGGCCTCAGAGCTCCTTTGGATCATGTGGACCCCGTTCATGTCAATAGCCTTGACTCAGATTATATATTTCAATTGATGACTTAAGATGTGGGGATAAGGACAGAGGGACTTGCACATGGATTTTGAAGAAATGGAAGTTCAATGGACTATTAGTAAAATCATGAAAAAATTTCAGAGGTGCTCTTGGAAGTAATTATATAAGGCTTTTGAGAATCTGAAGGTGATATAACAAGAGGTCAGGGAAATTATCCAAGTATTGTGGATTAATACTGCCAAAGAGACATTTTTTTAAATAACCCTTCACTGTGCTGATCAGGGACATTACTTCATAATTCAAATGTGTGGAATTGCTATCTAAGGAGACATTTCCTATGGAACATAAAAAAGAGAAGGCCATTGACCTATAGGATTAAATTTAAAAAAAAAACCTTGAATATGTAAAGCCTCTAGAAATTAATCACAGAAAGGATATTGAGTGT